TGATGAATGCATGAGTGCAATATAGGAAGTGATAAACACATGAGTGGCAATATGGGAAGTGATTAACACATGAGGCAATATGGAAAGTGATGAATGCATAAGTGGCAATATGGGAAGTGATGAACGCATGAGGCAATATGGGAAGTGATGAACACATGAGTGGCAATATGGGAAGTGATGAATGCATGAGTGGAATATGGGAAGTGATGAATGCATGAGTGGCAATATGGGAAGTGATTAACACATGAGGCAATATGGAAAGTGATGAATGCATAAGTGGCAATATGGGAAGTGATGAACGCATGAGGCAATATGGGAAGTGATGAACACATGAGTGGCAATATGGGAAGTGATGAATGCATGAGTGGCAATATGGGAAGTGATGAACACATGAGTGGCAATATGGAAAGTGATGAATGCATGAGTGGCAATATGGGGAGTGATGAACACATGAGTGGCAATATGGAAAGTGATGAATGCATGAGTGGCAATATGGGAAGTGATGAACACATGAGTGGCAATATGGAAAGTGATGAATGCATGAGTGGCAATATGGGAAGTGATGAACGCATGAGGCAATATGGAAAGTGATGAACACATGAGTGGCAATATGGGAAGTGATGAATGCATGAGTGGAATATGGGAAGTGATGAATGCATGAGTGGCAATATGGGAAGTGATGAACACATGAGGCAATATGGGAAGTGATGAACACATGAGTGGCAATATGGGAAGTGATGAACGCATGAGGCAATATGGGAAGTGATGAACACATGAGGCAATATGGGAAGTGATGAATGCATGAGTGCAATATGGGAAGTGATGAACACATGAGTGGCAATATGGGAAGTGATGAATGCATGAGTGCAATATGGGAAGTGATGAATGCATGAGGCAATATGGGAAGTGATGAATGCATGAGTGGCAATATGGGAAGTGATGGACACATGAGTGGCAATATGGCGAGTGATGATCACATGAGTGCAATATGGGAAGTGATGAACACAGGCAATATGTGAAGTGATGAACACATGAGTGGCAATATGTGAAGTGATGAACACATGAGTGGAAATATGGGAAGTGATGAATGCATGAGTGGCAATATGGGAAATGATGAATGCATAATTGGCAATATGGGAAGTGATGAATGCATGAGTGGCAATATGGAAAGTGATGAACACATGAGGCAATATGGGAAGTAATGAACATATGAGTGGCAATATGGGAAGTGATGAATGCATGAGCGCAATATGGGAAGTGATGAACGCATGAGGCAATATGGGAAGTGATGAACGCATGAGGCAATTTGGGAAGTGATGAACACATGAGTGGCAATATGGGAAGTGATGAACGCATGAAGCAATATGGGAAGTGATGAATACATGAGTGGCAATACGGGATGTGATGAACGCATGAGGCAATATGGGAAGTAATGAACATATGAATGGCAATATCGGAAGCGATGACCACATGAGTGGCAATATGGGAAGTGATGACCATATGAATGGCAGTATGGAAAGTGATAACCATATGAATGGCGTTATGGCAAGTGGTTGGCAATGTGGCTCTTCGATTGCATCATGACGCACACTTTGACCGATAACCATCTTCACGTTGGATTACTTCAAAAGTCCCTAAGCTGTTTCATATTAAGAAGATGTCCTAAAACTAGTATCGAATGCAAGATAAACAAGACAGAATTAAACTAACTGGACAGTAACCGTAATACAAAATTGGGCGCTGATTTATTTCGGTTAGTTCGGCAACGTACAAGTGAATACACGACCATTTAAATTGTTGTTGTTTTTTTAATGACGAAAGTAGTGAAACTGCCACCATTAATTGCTTGTGTGTGTGCTTTGTTTCAGACCATTGTCCATGGACACTATCTGTATGCTAGACATTTGTACGAATCCATTATTTGGGTCAAAAGTAATTATGCCAATTAGAGACACCATTCATCTTGTTCCAATCGCCATCTTCAAAGCAGCCGGAAATCAACCTCTTAAAAGAAAGAAAAATAAATCGTTTATCTATGCACTAAGTTTGTGCATGTACTCGGTTGGGAGCCTGGATCAATACACAATTACTATATTACACACATTACTATAAAGTTTGCCGCAGTTGTTGTTGCGGTACACAGAAGCCGACGTACTGAGATAATGGTTTCAAGGTGATTGCAACCGACACGGCCTTTTGGCGGTGTGCAGCCGTTAGTGTAATAGGCCCGGGATGCTCCCTTGATATCCTAGAAGTCTACCGCACTCTACAATATCCGTGTGTCAATAGGTGTGTCCAGGTAGCTAGAGGCATAACCACTTCATCTTGTTTAATATCGAAGTGTGGATCAGAAAATATTCAAACGGTGACATAGTTTTGTTCATTGTAGTATTAAACAACGAACAAATGCAAGTTTGTTTTGGGGGATTTTTACCATTGTTATACTTCATCGTAATTCGATGTGTATGACATATATGCCGTTATTACCACTGATAAATTATTAACGTATTTGATCATGTATTGATCTACTTAGATGACAATACTAAATAAAACATCTGCTTGTTCACAGGGATTTAATCAATATCCAGAAATTACGCAACAGGATCTAAACACTCTCGCTAGCGTAAGCCGTGAATGTTATTTACGCCTTTTTGATACAGATATGTTCTGGGTTACTATTGCTAAATTATTATGAAAGCATGGAGAAAAAATGTTTTGAATTATCCTGAATCCCTATTGTATGTATTATGATTAATTTTCATTTCACGATGTATATTTTAAAGCTATGGGGAAACCACAATGTAAATGTTTATACGAAGTCTGACAAGTTTGGATGTCCACACTATTTTTTTATTTATTTATCATCTGTTTTATGGAACCTTTAGACAAGAATGTGTAATGCTTTTAAATTCTCCGCATTTTTACCAACAATCTGTACACGAGGCTAAATGCAAATATTTGTTCTTTGTTCAAAACCAAACTGGGTTCTACTGAGTTATAAAAAAAAACGTATATAACTGTAACTGAATATGATTATTTCCCAACCTCCTTATACACGTGCCTCCACACGCACGCATTCGTTCAAATCGGCCTAGTTGCCATTTGAGTCGGTGTATTTTTCTTTTGCTGGCGTTCTTTGTGGCAGTGCTCGTAATAATAATTGTATGCATTGTGTAAAAAATGTTGCCAATGACTCCTACTAAACGGAACTTTGCGATGGTCCGAGGCATGAATTTCCAAGTCTTCCGTCGCCTATTGAAAAAAATTAAAGTTGGATTCATCTGTAGAAGTTGTTGTTCTATACTAATGTTCGAGTAAAGAACACATTTCGCTTTAAATATATTATGGATAAATTTGTCTGTTTGTACTATTAATAGCGACAAATTTGAATCCATTGTTATTTCGAACAAAATCAGTGTATCAACTAAATCATCGACCTATTGTTGTAGCGTTTAACACTATTAGTACTGTATTATACCGAGGACTCCGTTTCGCACAATACTTACCGTGAAGTCTATAGAAAAACTGCTTTGTCCGAATTAGCGCAATTTACGGCCCAGACCAATCTGTGTGAACTTGATGTGTGTGTTTTTTTAAAACATGTTTACATTTTAATTATTTTTGTTTATTTTTTTATGTCAAGATTGAGTATGTCATAAAATCAAACATTAATATTAGTTCATTGTTCTCAACGATTTGAACGAAATCAATCCATGATAGTCTATAATATCAACCAGGAAATCTTTTCCATGTGTGACTCAGCAGGAAAGGTTTACTCATATGTGCTCTGAATATCGATTAAACATATTCCGGAGAAATGTATTCATTTAATTTCGAGATCGTGTAATGCTATTGGCAATACGTGTAGTTGCATTAGTTCCACTGACTCTTCTGTCTCGTGGCTTTCTTTTTGGGCAATAATTATGTTATGGTATACTGTCGTATTCGGTATGAGTGAGAAATGTGAGATTGATTGCAAAAACTTAACTTTAGTTCATTTAGTGGCGTTGTAAAAGTCATTTGGATTCGCATCGCCGTGCCATGAATGTATGACTGTATTTCTACAATTGTAGTCGTCGTGGTACAGACGTCACGGTGGCTAAAGAACGACGTGAACCGTAACATTGGCTATACAAGGAGGTATTTCGATGCGCATATTTTTGCATTGATTTTTTTCCCGATGATGGTCACATACCATCATGAAATGTGTCAGTAAATATACATTGAAAGGAGGCGAATTCCACCCACTGTTCAGGTGTCCGGCTTATTCCAGATGTACAATGCCCCGGAACAGAGCGCCAGTCCGTAAGGGAGTCTGATGATGGCCGACAAACTTTGTGTTTTTTAATATAATATGAATTTTGTTCATGTTAATGGCATAAACAAACATGTGATGGCTTCATTTGTGGAGACGGCTTGTTTTATTTCCATGGGAGTGGTGAGCTATTAGTTAGGGTGGAGAGATGTTTAAAATAATAGGGTGCTAAAGAGCGTCTTCGTTCTAAGCGTTTACTGGTAATGGCGTGATATGGAATTAGTGTTGTTAGATTGTTTTTATTACGTATGTTCCCACTTTTCGAATACTTTGCATCGTTCAGTGCAACAGATTTCCTGTTAACATGGGGCCAAAAAAAAAGACTTACTAGCTTCCTACTAGTAACAATTGCTACTCGTCCATCCATCTATGGTGGTTGGTTTTGCTTCTTTGCCACTTTCATGGTCCATGACGCTAGGAGACAGAACAATAAAAACAACAATGCCCCAGTATTTGTCATTGAATAAGGACAGCGTGGATGGGTTAGTTCAGCGCGTGTCTGCCACTCTGGGGTCCAAGTCACCCAGTTGGGCGGTGTCACGTAGCGAAGTAATTGACACTCTTTATAGTAGTAGTTATCGCCTTGTAGACGCATAATGCCCGTTACACTTCAAATTAGAATAGGAGAGAAAACACACCCGCTCTTGTATACGACATCACCCGCACTGACACGCAGTTCGCTACTCGACACTGAGAGGGAAGGAACGTGTTCCACACCAGTCTGACGTGTTTCCGAAATTTCTGTTAAGTGTTTTGGGGGAAATCTTCCGATTGCCAGAAAATTCAGATGGTGGCGAATTGGTGCTTAGCGGAGATGCCTGTTAATAGCTTTGTTGAGCGCGATGTTATGGAAAACGTGGATGTTATCAACTCCGCAATTGCCGGTCCGACAGTGACCACATCGAACAGTTCAATAGTTACTCCGCATCAACACGTGTCACATGTAAGCAACGGCGGCGAAGAATCTACCAAGAGTAAAGAAGCATCACCTGAAGATGGGAAAACCGGCGGAAGAAGACGAAAGAGACCCGCGCAACGAGGCAAGCCACCTTACAGCTATATCGCACTGATTGCTATGTCGATAGCCAACTCGCCGGAACGAAAACTGACTCTTGGTGGCATCTATAAGTTCATCATGGACCGATTCCCGTTTTACAGAGACAATTCTAAAAAATGGCAAAATTCCATCCGCCACAATTTGACATTGAATGACTGTTTCGTGAAGTTGCCGCGTGAGCCCGGTCGTCCCGGTAAAGGCCACTACTGGACGTTGGACCCAGCAGCCGAAGATATGTTCGACAACGGTAGCTTTTTGAGGCGGCGTAAACGATTCAAGCGATCGGATCCAACTGAGGGTGGTTATTTGAACGGACACGGTTACATACAAGATAGTGCCTTCACACCGACCGCCACTGGCCGTGCACACTACCAAGCTATGTATGGACAAACGTTATACAGTCAACAGAACACAGCGTATACGCCGGGAACGCATCATCCAGCGATGCTATCTCATTATCCGACTACGGCCACAGCACATCCACCTGCCATGGCGACAACATCTGCACCTCGCATCTTCACCATAGATAATATAATTAACCATGATCGTCAAGGGCCATTAGCAAACGGTACTCTTTCATCCCACCATGGACTGAGTTCATCATATGTACCAAACGCGTTTGCGTCGTCAACCATCGATTTAACTCCAAGATCGTCGACTTCCGATCAAAGCCGGAGCACCTGTGGAAGTCCGCAGTCGATTCATTCCTCGCCGGTCATTCCGTCAAACATATCCCCTGATCGGGCTACTACCACTTTCGCGTCACACGCAGCATATCCCTACGCAACGATACAAAGTGCGGGACCGGATACAAGTACTAATATTTTCACGAATTCATCACTTCACACTGCGAACAATATACCGATGAGCTCCACGTCATCGGCACCTAGGTATCCCGGTTCATGCGTAGAGAACGACTTCGCGTTTTCCTTCGCCGCCAACGCTGCGGCGACTAGGTTTAACACGTCTCATCATTTTATTCGACAGAATACATTTGGGCATGAAAGGCTCATTCCCCAGACATCAATCTAAGCAGAGTAAGACACTGTTATCACCGAGTGGTAAATGAGAGACTATTAACATAATATAGTTTTTCCAGTTTTATTTTTTTATTTCAAAGTATTTACAATAGTAGCTTTATAGTAGTCGCTGACTTGTAACTATAATATTATATATGTACAAACGTACATACACAAATAATTGCCATTTGTCGAATATGCACTCATAAATACAGGTTTTCCATTTTAACAAGTTTAAATTATACAATCTTGTATCTCGTTACTCAGTTTAACGTGTAATTATATGTACACCCAACGTTCACACAGACACCGCCTTCAGTTATGTACGACTCGGTCCGAGTCTTAAATTCCTTTAAACCTACTGACTATGCATAATCCGGTCCCTGGTATATTGTGCTGTCGAAATCGCTTTATTCGATTTACGGATTGCGAAGCAAAGACAGACACATGGCGACAGTGCGAGTTTGCCATGCAATACGATCTACCTGTCTCTACCCACAGTCGCACCCTATCCAAAAGCACTTTCTCTTTTTTACACTTTTTTTTGGAGACGGTTAATGGGGATTATAACTTCTTATGTCTTAGCTAAATCAAGGCTGACTGAATTATTCCAAGTAGAATACTGTTTGATTGTTCACGGAGTTAATTATACCCGAATTCGAGGCTGAAATCCATTTATTTTCAAGTAGCGTTCCACAAGTGGGTGGCAGGTTTGGAATTCCATGGTAAAACTCAATCAGAAATGTCAACACGATTTTCTATTTTTGCAGTTCGTTTTTTTTTTTTTTCTTTTTCTCAAATTGAAAAGTCAATACAAAGGATATATGCTATATACCAATGTTACCAAACACGTATTTTGTTGTTGTTTAGCTATTTTATTTTTATCTAATTTAATATTGCCTCCCTCTATATAGAAAGTTCTCTCTCCCTTCGACACAGGAACAATTTTACACACATAATGTAACTAAACTCACAGGTAGTAGAAGATATTGTCAGTCAGCGCTACAACGTTGGCAAAAATAGTGTATTTTAGAGTTCTGAATATTATAAAGATAATTACTATTATAATACAAATATTAACTACATGTATTTCTTTTAAAATGTATATAGCATGCATTTGTGTGCGTTTATTTTGTTATTTTATATCAGCTATAAGCAGTATTCTTTTCCAGTTTGTTTTGTAAATCGTGCGTTAGTTTGTTTTACTTGATAAGATTGCTGTTACCAAGATCCAAATAAAAAGTACACGATGCATTAATAGTAAGGTACCCATGTTGTTGTTGTTGTTGTTGTTTTTTTCACATGACACACGCATTACGCGTGTAAATTTCCACCTGTCCGTCCTGTTCCCGACACCTGCCTGGACAAGTTTGGTATAATTACTATAACATCCGGTGACACACAGCAGTCAAATTATCGACAGTGATAGCGACACAAGTACAACATTTTAAAGTGTTCATTTTTATTTTAAGGTTTTTTTAACCTGGAGGGTTATACAAATCGTCGAAAATGATACACGCTTGTCTCAATTTTGGTTACCGTTCATTTGTCGGGGTGCAGCGTACGCCGACGGAGAAATTGGGCCAGTATTTTCATCCGCTGATCTGCCATACTCACATTCTTTGTCATTCGCCACCTTTGCTAAATAACAACGGCGATTCTCGTATTGTATGTATCTCGTTTACTGGTAACGGAAAAACTGGGCTTGTTCTGACTAACTGTACCTAAGTGGAGTACATCGGGTGAGCCATTCGAACGAAACCCAAACCAAGCACTACTTCCATTCCCCACGAGACCGACAAACCGACAAGCTTACGCATTTCGTTACGAAACTCTGCGATTATTCGGCATTCGGTCGTGTGAATTCACGCAATGTACGGATGTGTCACTGATATGTTGTGATATATAAACAATTACTCGTATGTTTGCTGATTGTTATTCTAGCTACTACCAACTTCGATATGGAGTCAAGACTCCACAATGACTGGCTGTGTAAGTACACGATCCACGTGACTACATTTTTTTCTGGTTCGAGTTAACAAGTTTCATTCGTGATCAATCAACAACCAATTTTAGATTTTTAGACTACATCTAAAATTGGCCTTTTGATATTTTCAATAAATTGCAAATCGGCTAAATGTTGACTAGTAATCTAAATGTTGGAACACAGTGGCCATGATAAGCGATTCTTACAACGACTGCGATTTGTTCGTATAGGGAGTGAAGTGTGTATTTCATGGTCAATGTTTTGGGCGGCCAGCCCCGTATGCCCTTTCTGTAAGAGTATCCGCCATGGATGTGAACGCCAACTGGGATGACCACTTAGGGAACAGCCGGCTAATTGAATCGTCTGTGTTGACAATTGGGATCACATCGATTCGGATGGATGAGAAGCAACCTTTAAATTCAATATTGGGATGGGAATGAACGTGTCGTTGTATACCTCGAACTTGAGAGGGGAGCGACTTCCGTCATGCGCTGGGCCGCACACCGGCGAATTTGCGTTGCTTACTGCAAACCGCTTTAGGGAAATAAGGAAAGAGAGAAATTTGGTAACAGTGGCTGTTTCACCGGGATCCTTAAAACACAGAATCGCAGCGAATTTCTTCCGTACGTCATTTAACTGCTCACATTTTCAGTATTTTCAAAATAAAATCACAAACTCCCCTCCTGAACTCCGGAACCGGATAACACCCCTCCTTTCCACATAGCTTAGTATGTCGCGCGCCAAATGTTGTGAGACTAACTTGAAAATCACTGATCAAGCTCATCGGTACGACTTTCACTGGACCTAAGTTAAGATCCACAGAGCTCGACTGTCGAGAGTGTGGCGTATATAATGAAGAGAAAGGGCCTCGCGACCCGTAAGTGTCCATATAAGTACGGATCGAACTTGAAACTGAAAACATAACATAAATACCGCCAGTGTCGGGGGCAAGGGGGGAAGCTAGTACAGGTTACGGGAAATATAAAAAAGACATTTTCGGTTGTTACAGGAAATAAAAAGTTCCATATACAGTAAAAATAAGTTGTTGTTTTTTTGTGTTTTTTTTACAGATAAAGCAAATTCCTCATTACATTTCACATTGTTACGCTAGTAATATATTTGATAATTTTAGTTTAAAAAATCAAAATTGGAAATTGCGTTCGAATTACGACATTTAATGTGGAAGTGCTTTATACGCTTACAAAAAATAAGATTTTTGTACAAAATACGGACGAATAAAATAGTTGATTACATTTTACATCTTGCCCATGTCTGCCAATTTACGTTTTTTACTTATTATTTATTATTACATTATTACGAAAATATAAACAATTGATTACAGCTCACGAAAATACCCCTTGCCGACCCTCAGTGTCGGGTGAAATAGGGTTGTGTTCTAAACATGGAAGGTACTAACAGAGCCTCCATGGTTCTGAATAAACCGTAAGCTACTCAGATTTGTACATGTTTATAAACATTGTTCATTTCTAACTTTATTACATAACATTACATGATCGGTAGACCAGTGTTCAAATCCAACCTCGGTTGAGCACCAAAAAAAAAGTCGACCCCGACCCTCAGAGAGTTTGTCACAGTCTCAATGGGGAGGCCAAACCTACTAACCGATATTTATTTATTTATTTATTTATTTACGAGAGTGGCTATGGGGGAACCAATGTTAAGGTCCACAGGTGTTCGATTCGACCGAGCCTGGTTGACACCAGAACAGGGCATTACTAGTAATAGAAAGATGGTCACACAGCCCTGTCATGTGTTATTACCAAATATGAAATGGATTTCTCTGGCAAAATGTACTATATACTAGTATGTGTCAGTATTTGCAATTTCAATATACATGTAACAAAATCAAGTAAAACAACAGTGACATTCGATGTCCGGAACTGTTGCATGGTACAAAAATAGACAAAATACACAACACTTTCTTACGAACAAAACTGTAATCATCAAAAGATGCAGCAGAATCACCACTATACACATAACACCATAAAGTGATGGGAACTGACGGTCTTAGACATGCTCTGAATTGAAAACTAATTAGTCGTTTATGCGGCATACACTTGTCCCCACAAATACACGTGCTTTAACAAATTAATTTATATTATTTTTGAGGAAGTCGAAAGTAGAACAATACTTTGATTCAACCTATTATCCAAACTTTCACATGTTGCTTCGTACAATACACAGTAAAAGACTATTAAACTTCCCATTAAACTTCCCATTAGAAGACAATGTACTTACAAACTTTAAATGTTATTTTACACATAAAAGCAATGAGTTAAATTTTTCAGCGCCAATTTGTTACTTCATGCCCACAATTGGTGTGAATTTGTTCACATTTTGTGCATTTTTCACTGAATTCAGTCTTAATTTTGAACCAAACAGGCTAAATACGACATATGTAGTTTATGATTGAAAAATGTTCGTCAACATTTTATGTCGAAAAGAGCAGACCATACATCAAACTATTTTGATGATGGTGACTGAAGTTGACTTTAACGCTCAAAGTATCCACAAATTTACCCAAATTGAAAATAGATTTGTCTAGTTATAAAAATCAAATAGTCATTGTAACGGCATCAACACAAATGTCGACAATCACAAAAATGAAGCCGATTCAGTCCGGCATTTCAGAACAAGCTGGTTTTTGCAACTTAGGCCAATCTGTTTAAAATTTAAAAGGTGTAAGCTCCACTCTTAAATTTATATATATTATTACTATTTTTCTTTATTTATGACTATTTTTTTTTATTTTACTTGCTGTTATTAAGTTGTTTTCTATATCGTACCTGTAGCCTTAACTACCGGGATACAGTATTATAATAAAAAACACTTGACAGCAAGTAAAACAAAAACTAGTCTTGAAAAAACAATAACAATAATAATATATATTATTATAATTGATTGCTAAATATTGTATCAAACAATACAATTATATGACTAAATTCTAATTGTGGCATATATTCCTCGTAAAGTTATTTTCCCAAATGGAAATGGGTAGAAATGACACATATTGCTAAACTAGAATGTTATTCGAGTCTCCTGGCTACGGATAGCCCCGAAAGTGATATCATTTTAAAACCATTAAACACGTTGAATGTAATAGCAACGAGCATTTGTTTATTTCACTTCACACGAATATAACTTACTAGTAATTACAAAATTAAGCTGTTACCGTGTTAGTACTCGTCATAAGCACATTTTCGAGATGTCCGGCATAAATGTTACTCGACAGTGACGATGATGACCATTGCACACGTTGTTGTTTTAGCAGTGATGCAAACCACTTGACGCATCGCAAATCCGCGCGCCCTGTTAGCTCAACTCTAATATTCTGACCCGGCAGGCAAAACCGAGAATCGAGTAAATCATTACGTCACTCTTACATATCAAAGACATAACTATTTTACAAACAGGGGTGTCAATCAAGAATTTGATGGGCTCTGAAATTTCAAGAAAGGGTCTGAATACCACGTCACATATGTATTTTAAAAAAACAATACGCAAGCTATACTAAATTGTAAACTACACTAACATTAACTGGCCATACATAATTCTGATTAGTGGTATTCCTCATGTGATTATATTGTGTTCAAGTCTTCTAGAGGGGGCTATAACATTTACCCGAGACAAGATTTACAAAGTAGTATCTTTAAATTATACATGTCAGTAATGTTATCGAAGAGAAATGAATGATTATTGTTACGCTAGGTAATGCATTATCAACACTTTAAATTTAAGTTATATAAAGACTATATTTTAATAGTTTCTCATATTGTTGCCAACATTTTTTTTTTATTTAAGACCTTTGACTCACTTTGATGACGTAATTCACTCACTGTGATTGGCTGGTATTTTGTGACATCCATTCTGTTCTGCGTAGTCTGTCGCGAATGATTATGCCACGAAACATTACGATGTTCAATCTACTGAATGAGCTTAGCAATGCGTCTTAATTCGAGTAACATAGAGGAGAGAAGAAAGTGGCAACACAGAGAATCACCGAGGTCGTTAGGAATATTTTTCCCCCGCAAAGGCTTGGCGTGTGAAAGGACGCCGCCTCACGATGGTTCCTGTTAAAGACTACGTTGATGGCGCTCTTCATCAGGACTAACCTTCGTTGGAGGTCGGGTAGCAGACGACACAACATGGACACATCGTTCAGCGTGACATTATCCCGAGACGTTACTGACACACCCTTAGATAGACGCACCTTCTTATTACAATTGTACATTGTTTCTTTCATGGACGTACGTGTT